GTTGCTGTCCTTTGAAAATTGAGAAGCCTATGTTAAAGTTGGTGGCAAATTGTTTGCCTTTCGACGTTCCTAAACAAAATTCGTTTTTCGCCAAAGAGTACGTCTTAATCAAGAGTCCAAGTGGAGTTGAAGTTTTTGTAGAAATTTTACGTAGCAGTTTGGGATAGCAGTTTTCATATGCGGGGTTTGTTTATTCGGACGCTGTTGTCAGGCCTGTAGCCAGAATGAAGTAGCAGGGGTGGCCGGTATTTTTCTAAGGGGGGGGGCTTAAGAAGTTTTTGATACAAACTTCCCCTGTAATTTTTGTAAAGGAACCATAAACCATGGCTTCCAGTAGGAGCAAAACCATATTCTAGGTGGGGCTGAGCCCCACCTGGCCACCCCCTGGATACATAAGCAGAATTCTATGTTTATTTTCATTTGTGATCGCAGAATAAATTGTGTTTATTTGAAATCATGCAAATCGTGTGCAAATAGTACTAAGTAACTAAATAATAACAATAAATAATTAAAGTTAGGTCAAATTGTAAATAATTGAGCTTGTCATTTACTGGCATTGTAAGAAAAAATCTTTTTTTTATTTTTCTGGAGAAAGTACCAATTTTATTTATTAAAAATAAAAATCGTACCTTCTAAACAAAATAAGAACAGATTGAGAACAAATTATCAAAATGAATACAAATCTAAATCATAGTTTCGCATTTCTTCCAAAAAAAGTCTTCCGATTATTTGAAATAATTCCTCACAGTTTAGATGTTAAGTTACTTTTCCTTTCCAAAGTAATGCCCCAGTATCTGACTTTACTAGGTGGTTTGATTATCTCGTTTTTAAACTCATTTGCAATTGAAAATTTATAAAAAGAGTTTTCTTGTAGTATAATACATTTTTGCCTCTTGTGAATTTCGAATGATTTTTTAAGGTGTTTACTGTGTGTAGTGTAATTTTTTGTATTTAGAAGAATTTATTGTTTTCGATTCGATTGAAAGAAATCTCGTTAAAGCATTTCTTTTACACCTACCATCGATGAATTTGCCCTTTGTGCTGTATCTTTAAGGTTATAGAAACTGCTTTTATTTTTCAGTCTAGAACCTATTGATGAACACAAAACGGAAAATTCCATTAAAAATGCAGAAACCAGTTGTCTAGAAACTAGTTATTAAGATGAGAGACTAGGGGTAATAAATTTTGTTGAAGTTCTTTCGTATTTTTTCTCAAACTGAAATGTTAATCTCATTTAAATCCAAAATCAAAAAAATGGCACGACTGGCCAAGGGACCATATATCTTCATAGAGTTTATCTCGCTCGACGTTGAACAGCGCACACCTCCTATAACAATAATATGCTATTGAGCTTGCTTTTTTCATTTTTTGGCGTATTTCCCCAAAAGGATTACGCCCGCTGTTGTTACGTGTACATGCGGTTAAATGATGAATTCTAGGGCGAATGCAAATATTTCCAGTAAACAAACGGAATTGACTAAAATGTAAATAAAACGATGTAAAGAAACTCCCATTTTTTAAGCATGGAAAGGGGCGAAAATGAAAAGGGCATAAATGAAAACCCATAGTTTGAAATGTATCTAGAAAGATAGACCCTCGGATAGACCCGTGCAATGTTTGACGAAAATAAAATAAAAATGCATAAGCATTAACAACAAACATTAGGAAATAAACTTAAATAAGATAAATGAACTCCTAATCAGAATTGATAGCAAATGCGCAATGCAGAAGTGGCACTCCACAGAAATGCATAAAAGATATCATTATTCATATTAAGGAACGACTAGCGGGTCTAATGGAATAAATCTTTGTTTACTTGCATTTATAACCATTGTCACCAAATTTTCTGTGAATATTTCGCATTTTTCTTCATTTGAAGAGAATGAATAAAGATTTATTCTATACCAGGATGTATCCCCAAGAGTCGCTTATTAGCACTTGTTATATAGTCACAACCACCCTTCGAACATTCAGCATTCGATCTTGTGAAGAAATTTATGATGCACATTAAGGTAAGACGATGTCTTGCGAAAATATGCAGTAATATAAAATGTAGGTACTTGTACTACATTTTCATCCTGTTAGAGGTGCGATATAAAAATTCTTACGAGAACGTGTCTGTGAAAGAATGTGTTACGCGTTTTAAATGCTTCTTTAATGGTAATAATATAAAACTTATCTCGGGATTGTGTGTAAGAATTCCGATCATGTTTTCCACAACAGACGCGTTTTGAACCCTAAAATTTCACGATATTGAACGAGAAGCGGAACAAAAAAAAATACTACAAATGGATTCCACTAAGTTACAAATTAATCCACTTTCTTTGGTTTTTCCTTTTGGAAGGCTCAATCAACGTAGCGTATATGTGAGAGATATATATGGAGTGGAAATTAAAACTACACATGGGTAGAATACCTTTTACGTCGGGATGGTTTTACTAAACTAATTAAAGCGGTCTGTTTGTGTAAGCTCCCTATTCTAGCTCTTATTAGATTTTTTATCAGGGCCGTAAGAGAAGAGTTGCCGGTTTACAATAGAATTAACATCATCCATAACTTGCATGTGTAATCAAATAATAAATGCTGCAGAGGGTAAATGAAAAATTTGTTTCCACAGTAATCTCATTTGGACAAAACAAATTTCCCTACATTTAATTATGCAGCTTTCCAGTTAATTGGAAAGCTAAAAACGTTACATCCGCTTACAGTCAGAGACGTTATTGATATAACAAATTTACGATGCAGTACATATTTCTCTTTCAAAGGGTACGGTTAGTATCGTTAAGAAACACATCCATAACCGTTAGCTTCCACGACTTCAAGCTTTATCTAGTGTAACGAAATAGGATGTCCGACATATTCTGGAAAATAAAATTAAGCCTCCATGAAAAATGAGATACTTTTATAAACGAGTCATTACTCTCATATGTTGGGCGGACATTGGCTTACAAGGTTTACTTTTTTACTTCGAGCTTTTGGATTACACCAATTTAGCGATAGCTTTCAAGAAACGAGATGTAAGGAAAATTGTATAACCTTTCGCTTTGGGAATGATTAAATTTATTAAACCCTTAAGGATAGGTTGTTTAATTACCGATTACGATATCCAATTTGATTATCTCATTAGTGTGTTACTTTGTAATTTCTGATACTACAGATCAAATAATTACTATATTATTTTCTGTGGTAATAATATACCACCTCTAACTGCATTTCCAGTTTCTCAACCTTCTTTTTTCTTCATACATGGTAGGAAAACCTTCAATAGATCGTTTTTTAATTATAAAAGGTATCCCATACTACTAAGAAACTTTCGGTAGTGTGTAACGAGACCAAGTTAATATTACACCCTCCCGCTCACGGATTCTTTCACTTGAACCCCCCCACATACAATACATGAATTTTGCCAAAAAACGGTTGTTTTGGTTAATAATAACTAAGAAATGCAATTGTAAAGTATTGGGATCTTTCTGCGCTATTGCGATCACTGTTTTTGAACATGTCAAAATTTCATCTTGGTGATACTACAAAGGAAACGTTAGATAAAGTGATTCAGATGTTCGAAGATAAAGCTATGCATCGTGCTCAGGTATTTCGGTGGCACAAAGAATTTGAAAACGGGCGAGAAAAAGTCGTGCGTTCAGTGTGATGCAATTTTTTACTTAAAAAAACATTCCATTGTTGCCCCTCCCCCATATTCGCCAGATATGTCTCTGTGACTTTTTTCTGTTTCCCCGGGTCAATCAAATTTTGAAAGGAACGCATTTCGGGTCGGCAACTGACATCCAAAAGACGTGATGAGGATGGTCAAGGCGCTACCAGTTGAAGCCTTTCCGAATTATTATAAAAACTGGAAAACTCGCTGGAACCAGTGTGTAGTTGCCCAAGGGGAGTATTTGAAAGGGGATCAGTTTTTAAAATCAGTCTCATTATATTTAATTGTCAGACCCCGTATGTTAAAAAACTGTAAGTACGAAGTAGTGACAAGTGTTGCTTGTGTACTTTAACAACTAGTAGACGATTGGTTAAAAAACAAGCACAAAAAACTTACGATGCCCTATGTCTCCATACTTACTTTAACAGCAGACCAGTTCACGTCGGATGGAATAAAAGATTTGAAGGTAAAATGGTACCTTGAGTGTTGGAAAAGGATCACACAAAAATATTCTTTGGAAAGAATGGAAAAAAATATAGTCCAGCAGTTGGAAGCTACGTCAAATCCTCAGGAAACGAATTTAATTACCTCCGATATATCGTCAGAAGCAACAACATCCAAGTTCACACGAAGCAAAACGATAACATATCAACAACTGAGGCACATATCATATGAGTCATTTTTAGAAAAGGCAGTTGAAGTTTCTAAAAATGATGTCATTGCTGTAAGACTATCAGAATGCGTTCGTCCAGGGGATGCCCACGCTTTAGACATATGATAATCATAAGAATTGTTGGAACAGGAAACGTCGCTAATGTTTTGAGGGCAAAGACAGAAAAATAATACTGGGGAGTCTCCGAAAATATTAGGATCATCTGTTGAGTTTCCCAACTGTATAAAGTCGTTCCCGAGGGATGGAAATACAACTTTGGAATGTTGTGGTATCTGGCAATTTTAAATTTGAATCATTCCCGCTTTTATGTAGTTAATTTATGGAGTAAAACGCAAGTTACGCCACTGTGAATATTTCGGCGCTCTTAGTAACTCAAATGGTGCAAGGACGAGCTTGGTGGGCGGGCGCGCGTCGTGCTTTTCACACAGTTAAGCCCACATTACATCTATCAACTAATTCATGAATTTGCCCATGGATTTATTGATGAATTATTTCATGGATTTATTGTTCAGATAAGAACACTTTACACTTGTCAATAAAACCATGAATTTTCTAGTCTATGTTAAGGATTGCCAACTTTGAGATCGTTAAGAGAAAAATTACCAAACGCCCAAACAAAACAAACAACCCTCTGTTTTACATAGGTTACCTATTCTTATTATCGAGATTAATATGAACAGAAAAACAAAGTTAAGGCATAATAATTCAGCCAAAGTTAAAGCAGCAGTAGTTGCTATGATGGTTGCTGCTACAGTGCTTGACACTGATTTACCACATGCGAGGAGGTGGTGGACCAGGCCTTGGTTGCAAAGAAAGGACAAAGGCAACTTAAATTTAGTGAATCAAGAATTTCAAGAGGATCCGGAACAATTTAAACAATTTTTGCGTATAGATGAGCCAACATTTAATAAACTCTTGGAATTAGTTACACCTTATATTCAAAAAAAGGACACGTACTTTCGAGAAGCAGTCTCATCAAGAGATAAATTAATAATAACACTGAGGTTTCTCGCTACTGGGGAGAGTTATAGAAGCTTAATGTATTCATTTAGGCAGGCAGAGTCCACAATTTCATTGTTTGTTCCAGAAGTTTGTCGTGCAATTTATCACTCCTTATCTGAAGAATATCTTAAAGTAAGCAATACGACATTGAGACTTTCTAGATACAAATCGCTCTCTTTTTATAGGTACCGAATACAGCTGCAGAATGGCTAAACATTGCTAAAGATTTCCAAAATATTTGGAATTTACCCAATGTTCTTGGAGCCATGGATGGCAAGCATGTTGTTTTTAAAGCCAAAAGAAGTGAAGGATCCTCATTTTACAATTATAAAGGCCAGCACAGCATCGTACTATTGGGCGTTGTGGATGCTAATTACCAATTTATTTATGTAGATATTGGAACTAATGGCAGGGTTTCTGACGGTGGGGTGTTTTGGAACTCATCACTGGCAAGTGCACTATTTCATGATCAATTGAACTTTCCAGAGGACAAGTGTTTACCAGGCAGAAATAAACCCATGCCATACGTTATTGTAGCTGATGCTGCATTTCCTTTGAGCGAAAGAATTCTAAAACCATATCCTTTCCGAAATATGACGAAAGAGGAACGTATTTTTAATTATCGATTAAGCCGGGCACGCAGGGTTGTTGAGAACGTGTTTGGCATATTAGTAAATCGATTTCGTATTTTCTTAACCACAATCAATCTGGACCCACAAAAAGTGCAAGAAATTACTCTGGCTTGTTGTGCATTACACAACTTTTTACGTAGAGAGTGTAAAACATTTGTTCATCCTGATGAAGAAACAAGTGAAGACTTTACATTCCTTTATGGACTTACTCGTCAGGGAGGCAATCGTCCAACTAATACTGCACTTGAGGTCCGGAAAGAATTTACAAACTATGTAAATAATGAAGGTGCAGTACCTTGGCAAGATGATATTGCCTAAGTGTATATTTTAATTTTAAGTTAGCAGTAAGACAAACCTATAGTGCTATAGTTGTAAATGTGTTCAATGTTTATTGTTACTTTTAATTCCTATGAAACCTTTAAATAATGTTAAGCATATTACCTACACATTTTTACAAACAAACTTCAACAAAATAAAAACTAAGAAATGACTTATTACATTAAATGTTTAAACTAACCCAATTTAATCTTGCGATTCAAATAAAATATTTGTAATTTTTCGCTTAACTTGTGTTACCATATCGGGAGAAATCTGCCGCAGCTCTGAAGCAACAAACCTGCAAATACAAGTTTTAGTACCTATCACTTGTAATAATATAGATATAAATTTACATTCCAAATGTATCGAAATGATCCAATTTCTCTCCTTGTGTTTTTTCTAAAAAGGATGTAGCCTTCTGTAATAAATCGTTAGCTTTATCTACATTTGAAACTTTACGTCTTTTGACACTTGGAACAGAACTGCAGCCACTTGCTACTGACGTTGAGGGTGACAGTAGCTCAGCTTCTACAGTGTTTAATTCATCGACTGTACCCTCAAACACCACCTCATTTTCTTCATCACTTGGTATTTGCATGTTACAAAGAAATTATGAAAAAAATGGAATAACTGCACTGAATAATACATACATTAGTAACTTCTTGCAGATTGCTTTCTCCTCGTCGCACAGGGGCAGAATCTTGCAAAAAGTGTAGCAGGTCGAAACACCACCAAGTGGGTGTATAGACATCATCTGTACTCGACCCACTACACTTTTTTTTCTTCACACTTGTTACCTCTTTGAAAAATTGAGTGCGCAATCCATTAATTTTCTTTTTTACATCGGTAGATGTAAATTGCGTGTTTCCCAATGCTTCGTTCAATTTCATGGTTAACTCATTCAACATAGACTCCCTCAACGTTTTATTCTTGTAACGGGATGATTGTACATTGTACAAATCGGGATAACTTTCGTATAAAGTAATAAGAATATTGGTTTGGTCCCTTGTAAACCCAGAAGCCATCTACAAGAAAATTGCTTTTCTGCTTATATCCTAAATATTATATTACCTTATTTTTGTAAACGGTAACGTACTTTTGAAACTAAAATTAACTGTAAAAGTACAACACCACGGACGCTTTCAATAAAAGTGTGGTTATAATCTACACCCTAAAAAATTAGTACAAAATGCCGCCGTCTATTGGTATACATGGAATAACAACAAAATTACTAAAATATCACCAGAAAATTGACGAAAATTAGAGTTCTTAATTCATCAAGGAATCCACCAACAAACCCATGAAGAAATTATTGAGAAAATTGATGAATTTATAGTACTTTACACTTGACAATTTAACCTTGAATTTGTCCATGGGCAAATTCGTGAATTAGTTGATAGATGTAATGTGGGCTTTAGCGATATATCTGGCAAGGTAGCAGAATAATTGTGGTATGCAGAATATATGCGTTTGATTCGAAAATCAGGTAAATGTATCCTTTATTTTCGACTTAATTACTGTAAGTAGCTTAGAATGCAGGGTGGTTTTAGTGGATTTTGTACTTCTGTACTTTTTTGCTACTTCCATGTAGTTTAGCTAACTTTAGCATGTCTTCAAGAGTTACTGGGTGGATTTTATTGTTTACCAAGGGCAAGTTTAGGATTAGTACAGGGTGTTGATATAATTTAGGACGTATTATAGTTTTGATACGTAGGTAGTTGAAGGGGAATTTTCCATAGGTGTGGGTGGCTTTCATTTCAGATTCATATTTGAGAGATTTTGTGAACGTGTTGTTAATTTGGCAACCACAATGAATGATTAGCAATTTCTTCGCTTGAGTCTCCACATTTCAAACTGTTTTTTTCTATACATTTTTCCATTTGTATTTTATCTATTATTTTCTCTTTAGCTAATTTGAAAATTACAAAATACACACAGCACACTTGAGTGCTGTGTTTTGTTTAAATGTTGTGAATTTAGAATGACATTAATAAAAAGTGTTCGCCCACGCCAGGTTTGGGGCAAGGTTACCTACAAAATGCAATACAATGCAAATAACAAAAAATCATCGCTTTCAAATTGTTAGAATTGATATTTACACACGATTATCAGATGTTAAGGAGCAAAGGTAAAAACCTTTTGTGCTAAAAAACTTCTTTATGAAATCCTATTTTCTGCTTGCCTGTGTGTATGCCTAACCATGACAGTTAATGCGATATGTATTTCGAAAATGATTCTCCATTTCCCCAAATTTCAAATGACATGCAACATTCATTACGTCGTTTAATATAAGAACAGTCGCAGATAGCCGCCCACTGCAAAACTACGTCTTTTCCTTCGCATGGGCTAGACTCACAGGCGACCAGTTTTACAGTGGATGATTGCGTGACTGGTTTTATACTAGAAGAGCAATAATAAAATAAAACAATGAAGTGCGGGCCAACTTAAGGTAAAAACAGAAGATCTATAGATTACTCTATTTTCACTATGGAAACTAATTGAAGCTCTTCCCGTAACAATAATCTCATACATAGAAAACGTCCTGTAAAAGACAACATAGTAAATTCTCGGGATTACATCCCACTAAATTATTCAATACGTCATGGTTGGCGAAAGCTAGTAAATGTTTGCGACGTGTAAAGTTTGAATATTTGGAACATGCTGTAAATCAAATATGACAAGGCTTGTTTGGTCAGATATTTATTAAGTTTTCCAAATTTACGTGTCTGTGTTTGTAATTCCCCAACGTAAGTCGCCTGCGATTTCCTGAAGGTTTTAATTTCGCAGGATATATTCCACAAAGAAAAACACACATTTTTCTTAAGACGAACAGAAATAAGTAAATATCTCAATTTAAAAGGCAAAACTTGTTTATTTTGCGTGTAGTCAACATCACTTGATTGCAAATTTGTATCTACGGTATTTTCGTCTAACAAGGTTTTTTAAGAGCAGCATCGACAAAAATGGGGGTGCACGGGCACTTGATATAATTTGCAATTCAGCGGTAACTTACTAAGTGTAGGTGTAGTCGCCTACAAAGGGGTAGACCACCAAATTATGCAACGTTCCGGTTGTCGACTATTATTTAGTGGCTAATTTTTAAGTTGCAGGAGATTTAATGGATAAATCTATCTCAATATCTACTTTCGAAGCCAACAAACGACCTACCTGAAGTAGAGTGAGTAATATTGTTGACTGTTTATATAACCCGCTAAACTCAAAACGTCAAGTTTTATACAAACATTGCGAACTCCCGACGGAATTCTTGAGAGATTCCCGAGAACAAGGCCAGCTACTCGGAAGCCCATTTATTTGCAAACTAGCTCTTAGTACACAATCCTCCAAACTTTTACATCACATAATAAGCAAAAGGCAGTGCTAAAACTTTATTCTCCCGTTTTGAATTTCCTTTTCATTTTATAACAAAGTTTTTACTTAAGTTAAGTTTTGAGTTATATTGCAGTTACTGCAGTAAGTTTGAAAATATTTTCAACGGAAACGAAAATGCAAATAATTTTATTCTTAAAAGTTACTTAGTTTCGCGTAGATGTTAAATTGCAGAAATTGTTGCCAACACTCAAACCATGTGCCCATACAAATTGACTCTACAGTCACATTTTATCAAAAACGAATAGACAACATCGTAAAACTGACTTTACACACTGTAAAATTTAAGAAAAACGAATGAAGCTATTGTTGAGAAGATAACCGATTGGGTACGATTTTCAGTAGGGGAATTTGTTGACACTCAACGAGCATTCGGAAACACGACTTTTAATCTGGCTCATATTCAATAGAACTGATCCTTGAACTCGTAGAATCGATTGGAGAAGCTCGTTTCGTTCTCGGAACAGATGGACAGACAGGTGGACAAAGCCATTACATAAAAGGAATTTCTTTCGAAAAATTCAAATAAAAACTATGTCACATTAGGCAGTACATGTGGAAAAAAAATTTTTCCAAGCCGTTATTCAAACTTTTGACAGCCTCAACAACCATGAAGATGGTTACGGATCGAAACTAAGATAAACCTATGTGTACCCCAAATTTCGTCCAAATCTGTTCCACGTTTTTTAGTTATCGTGTTCATAAAACACGAACTACACCCACAGACGGAAAGAATCACTTTTTGGGGTCTGTAGGCTTCAAAAAATCCAGAAAACCCAATATTAGCATATCTAAAATGTATCACGATCTTTAGACAAGAGGCCAGAGGCAAGTAATGTGCTGCAAGGTATGGAAGCTATTTATTCATACCTGGAAGAAAACAGGGAAGAGTGCAAATTCTCGCTTCAAGAGCTAATAGACAATAAGACAGTGGTGTGCTTCAAAGTCGATCAAGCGATCCTGTAGGAAAACTGGTACGAAGAAAGAAAAACCTATAGTAAGGCGGATAGGTTGTGAATAGTGGAAACTCTGGCACTAATCTGTTTGGAAGGTATTCGTGCAGAAGTTTTTGACACCGTAAACCTAAACTCCATCTAACTCTTTCTTACTAGACTACCAATACCTAAAACGCTACAAAGGTATTTCGAATTGATAGGACTAGAGGAGGAGAGAAAAAAATTGCACTTATGACGGCTGTAAAGCCAAAATCTGTCATATCTTCAATTATGACAAAGGTTGGTGCACATCTTTACCGAAAATTCGGTAAGAAACACCTGGTGAACCTCTGTGCAGCTCTTGCGCGAGCAGAAGATTCACCAGGAATAAAAAAGTGCCAAGTAAAGAATAGTTATTGGATAAAATTGAACACAATGGACCCACATCCAAGCTTTGGTGTCAATATTATCGAATCACTGCTCCGCTCATGAGGCGGAGCGGATGGGAGATTGGAATCTTCACCTAGAATGTGTTAGCAAGATGCTCTACTTCTTAAAGTCTGTGGGACACTTAATTTACGCAAAAGTGCCCGACTTGAAGGTATGCTCGACCTGGAAAAGCACATGAAGTCAGACGAGTATCATATGTTCACAGGGGAGCCTTCACAATACATCGCT